ACGGTTTCAAAGTTGTACTATGCTGCTGCACGAAATAAGGTGTGAGCCACTGTATATTTTCTTTGCTGTTTTTTATATGCGTTAAGCTTTAAATATAATTACAGTTAAAACGTAATTTATAGCATAATCTGGATTACTGTCAACAACTATGCAAGTTAACTAAACAAACGCATATTTAATTGAAAATGATTCGAATTTATTGTAAATATCAAAGCTTTAATTGTGCCCACAGCATACGTACATATGTATGTATGTATGTGTGTTTGTATGACAAGATTTTGTTGTGCTTTAAAATGTGTCGCAATTTGCCCACATACACATACATACATACTTATACTCAACATTCGTGCTATGTATGTGTATGTGAACTCGCCATTTGTATTCCACCTTAGTCTATTGCTGATTCTGCTCGGTCGGTCCGCTCGGCGGGGTAGCTCAGACTAGCTGTGGTGGTTATTCGCATTTCATTTATTGCGGTAGAGTTTGCCTGCTCGCCTTTTCTCAGCACCCAGCAGTTGGCATACGCGCCGCACAACAAAATTGTGCTCATAAACCGTGTGTAGGCAAATATTGTGTTGCGCACTGCTTTATTGTTATAAGCGTCGAATTGGTCTCCATTAAAGAGCACTTTCGACTTACTTGTTAAGCATTTCAATTTTCAACTGTGCAAAAATAAATGTTAAGAGCAGCTGTTAACGATGAGCTGTAAAAAAAAATGAAAACAAAAACAAAACAAAAACCAAATACCAACAACAAAACGATATCATATAACGAGAACGTAGTGCTAAGCTGACCGAAATATAACAGTCTCTCTCTGGCCGTCTTCAAGCATGCAATGCTGCGTGTATGTGTGTGTGTGTGTGAGAGCACATAACATTGCGACTGGCTGATTCAGAGCTGTCAAATTGCTGCAATTACTTCTAGCTAATGCTGAGATTAAATTTGATTTAAAATGGAAGCTATAAAGCAGATATATTTTTATATTATGTTAATTTTAGAATATTAAAATTATGTCGCCTATCGCTTTTGATTTTCTCAAGACAAACTGCAAATTGATATTGAATGACCAAATTTATTCCTCACATTTAATTTGCGCTCGCATTGTGCGCTTCGACAACCCTGTGCACAAACAACACTCTCAAGCAAGCTCTCACGCTCTCTCTCTCTCTCTCTGTCGGCTGCGGCCGGCAGTTTGGTTGCTCTGCTGCTCGCTGGCAACTGTTTGCCATAGCAGCGGCGCTTGCTGTGCTGCCTGGTTGCCTGTTAAATTGGCGGTTACACGCGCGCGTCAGGTACGCCAGCCGCCAGATTTTCATCGGTTGCTGCTGCTGCTGCTACTGCCACTGCTGTCGCTGCTACTACTACTACTACTACTACTACTGGTGGTGGCAGTGGTTGCGCTCTGTGGTGCTGAATGCTGTTGTGGGCTGCGTGGGTTCGGACTCCGTCGTCGTCGGTTGGTGGTTGGTTGGTTGGCGCTGTTTTTTTTTCCTTTGCCTTTTGCCTTTGTCTCTGGTGCCGTTTTAAGTTGTTTTCTTCTTGCTACTTATCAGCTGCAAGTTTATCGATTTTTACTCGCGCTCTCTTCGCTGTGAAGCGTCGCCGTTGTCGGTCTGCTAGTTGCTGTGCGCCTGTTCTTTCCCTCGAATATCGAATCTCGATTTCGATGAGATTTTATTACTGCCGTTGTACACAGACAGCCATTTAAATATATTTTTTTATATTTTATTTTCCTCTTTTTTTTGTGGCTGAGTTTTGGTTTTGCGCCGTGTGTACATTTCAAATTATTTATTTATTTTATAGATTACGATTCTTGCTTTCTTTACACGCGCTGCCCGTCATGGTCTCTCGCCAGAGTATTAGCATTGTTGTAGTTGTGCCGTTGTCGTCTCGTTGACTCGCTTTTTCACTTACCTTCACCATCAACAACTCACCACGGCAGCTTTACGTACATATGTACATATAAAAGTATGTGTGCATGTACGGACATTAGGAGAACGGTGTTGGGATGAAGTGGGGAAACGCCTGCTGTTCAGCTTGATTTCATCATTTACCATATTTAATTCCATTTAAATGAAAATGAACTGAAACCGATTACAATCGCCGACGTTGTCGTTGCCGCTGTCGCCGCCCCAGACTCGGGCCAGACACACACACACCCAATAATCGGTGGAGTCCCGGAGCTGCGCGTGCAACCGACAAGCCATGCAGCCAGTCAGCCAGCAACTGAAATGATAACACAACCAACGGCAACGAACCCCAACAGCAGGCAGTCAACAATATTCCAACAACAGCCCGCCGAGAGCAGGCAGCGAGCGGGCAGCAACAACAGCAACCGCCACTCAACAGTCAAGTGCTTTGCTTGCCCAGCCAAAGCAGCGTGTGAAATATTTCTTACACACACCAGCACAGAAACACATAAACACACACACAAACTCACACGCCAAGCATGAAAAAAAAAAAACGAAACCCGAAGAAAAACAACGACAAGAGCGACCGACAAAATTGCAAAGCTCTCAAATCAGTGTCGGTGGCGGTGGCGTCGTCATCGGCGGCGCTGTCGTTGAATGAATGCGAATGCTCAAACAGCAACACCAACAACTCCCATACACACAGCCACACGCACACACACACACACACACACACAGCATACAGCGCACAACGGGAGACAGCACAAATCCGAAACCAGAACAGATGATTAGCCTAGTAAAACGAAACGAGCGACGACGCTGCAGCACAATGTGGGAGCGCACTTTTGAGTCAGCGAGTAAAGCTTTTTCACGCTCTCGCAGTAGTAGTAGTAGTAGTACATGACAGTGGGACCAGATTAAACATTATTTGGTTGAATTACTTCAAACCAAAATTTTGATTGATTAACATTAATATAATTTTGAATGGGAAATAGAAAAGAAAAAAAAGAATGAATTTTACGGGTGTAAAAGTATTAAATTAAAATTTCGATAGTATGCAATATACTATATTTTTACATATTCCAATATTGAAATGCTACAAGATAAAGTTTTTTGTATATAATAACTGTTATCTGAAATATTTGTGATTAGATTTGACATTGAATAAAAAATAGAAACCAAACTTAATAGTTATGTACATATATTATATATTGGCTGAATGTGAAAATTTACTGATGTAAAAGCATATTAAATATCTATTATATATAAATCATCAATTTGATTTATTATATTATTATTTATTTGATTACAAAGGAGTTCAGGTACAAATGCATTTAAATCAAATTTAATTACATTATATTGCCATGTAAACAAACGAAAATATTGCATGCGATAGTTAGTGAGTATTTGTATCACTGTGCATGGCCCCAACTGCTATATGTGCGTAATTGAAAACCGGTTGCACTGTTTACCGACATTTTCCGCTAAGTTGTGAGAGGCTACCAAAGAGAGAGAGAGAGAGAGAGAGAGAGAGAGAAAAAGAGCAAGTGACCGACCATAGGAAGGTCGCCGTCATCGTTGCTGAGCCGAACAAGTGTTCGTTGTTGCTCGTTGACTCGTATTTGCGACTCGTCGTCGTCGTCGTCGTCATCGTCAGCCATAACCGGAAGGTCGCCTTTACCACAACATTTATTATGGAAAAATCGCGTAATCACTGTCGTATCACATTTTTTGCAGCCGTCGTTGGTCGGCGTCGTCGTCGTCGTCGTCGTCGTCGTAGTAGCTCTCTGTCTGTGTGTAACTGTATGTATGTGTATGTGTGCATATATTTATATATGTATGTATGGGCTTCTTTATACGTGTGTGTGTGTGTGTGCGTGTGCAAACGAGTGTGTTGGTTTTATTTTTAGCAGCAGACGCCGCTTGCCAACTTCAAACTTGTTGCAAGTCGTTGGGTTGCGTGTTTGACGTACGAAATTGAACTTTACTTTTATATTAAAGCTTTGTTCGATTTTTATGGTACATTTTGCTTTGCATTTGTTTTCTTTCTTACTTTGTGTGGACTTTGTGCACGAGCTGTGCGTGTGTGTGTGTGTGCGTGTGGCTCGACAAATTTAATTTTTTTCTCAGCTTTTTTTTTCGTAGCTTTCGTTGCGAAAAGTGAACACATTTCCAGTCTAACATCCAGCAGCAGCGACAGCGGCAGTCCTGGCTGCCACGATTAGTCCACTCAGGCTCAGTCGCTACCCAGATATTCCAATGCATATTATTTGGTTGGGCCTTTATGGAGATGGTTGCGTTCGCTGTCGCTGTTGCTGTTGCTGGCTGCGGCTCGTTTTGGGGGTTGCTTCCCAGGGGTGTCCAACGCACACCCACCCACACACACACACTTGTGCATGTTCACATGTATGCGTGTGCACTTGCAGTTTTATTTTCATTTTTTTTGTGTGCATTTCTTATTTTTTTTTCTCTGCTCTCTCTTTCTCTCTTTTTATATTCTTCATTTTCATTTTCGTTTTTATATGTGCATGTATGTATGTGTATGTGTATTTTTTTTTGTGCTTTCTGTTTTGGCAACTGAACATGGAAACGGCACCTTGCACATCGGGGCTGTCCGTTTTCTTCTTGCTGCATTTTGCACTGGAATGTGCGACACGGTACAGTGGAAGGCCAGTTGCATGTTGCACACTGCATACATACATATATTGTATGTGTATGTATATAGAGGAACATACAGCAGCAGCGACAGCGACAGCCCAAGCCCAGAGAGACACAACTTGGGGCCTCTGTCAAAGGCCATGGACCAAATCCAGGGCCGGGTTCCTGTTTGTTGTTGTTGTTGTTGTTGCTGCTGTTGCTTTTGCTGTTGATTTGCAAAGTGGATTTTGTGTATTTGACGATTGTTCGACTTGCAGTTGATGCTGTTGCTGTTGCTGTTGCAGTTGCAGTTGCTGCATGTTGTTGCAAAACTGGTTACTGCTGTTGCTGTTGCTGCTGCGGCTGTTAGTGCTGCTTGCTGCAATACTTGCAGCTAACTTACATTATCTGCCCCCCACACCCCCCACACTCTCTCTATCTCTCCCTCTCTGCGTGTACCCCCATATCTCTGTCTCTCATTTCCCTCTCTCTCTCTCTCTCTCTCTCTCTCTCTTTCTCTGTCGCTCCCTTTCTCTTTCGCCTGCTGTCTCTGTCGTGCTCTTGCTCCCACTCTGTTTTTCTCTCCTGGGACAGCTTGTTATATATGTATGTATACTCATATATATGTATATGTATATGTATGTGCGTGTGTGTGTATATATGATTGTATGTGTGTAAACGTGTTTGTATTAACCCTTTTTGGCCACACACATACGGCCGACCAACAGCATTCCTAGCTAGACCTTCCTTGTTGCCAACCGCCCATTGCCAAATATTTGATTATATTAGATTTGATCTTAATATATACAGAAAAATTGATAGATTCCAAGTTTACTTACACCCATCATTCATATTTCTTTGACTTTCAATCCCGATTTGCAATGCATCCCCCTTAAATCATCGTCAAAAATCAAAATGAACTCTCGAATCGTATCCTGCGAGAATTTTTCATGCGTTCTACTCTATTTTCATGTTGTTATGGAAAAAGTTCCATTTCATTTGTATATTAATAAATCTCTCTAGCCTCTGGATAAATAGAAAGCACGATGAAACGTCTTTTTATTTGACAAAAAATGCTCTAAAGTCATTATACTTTCGAAAGAACCTAAATAAGATAGGGAAAACTGTCGAAACCATCTGTATTTACTGCAAAGATGCAAAAATACTAAATACACTTTCTTTAACTAAAAAAGGTGATCAGAATATAGAACCCAGTTATTCAAAGTAGAGACATTAGCAGTACAGCCATAGCGCAGCAGCCTAGGATGCCTGGAAAAGGATCTGTAACTTTGTCGACAAGGATCCAGGACCCAGTTCCATAGTGGGCTGTGCTCAGTTAGTTAGATAATAGATGAGGGCACCACCTTTAAAGCTCAAGCGTGATAGTTCCTGGTTCCATCATGAATTTTAGACCTAGAAGATGAGGTTTTTCAGTCGGTTAGATGATCCGACCTATGTATAAAACATTTTTACTTCAGAGAATTTGAATTTCTGTATAAACCGTAAAAAAAAAGGTTCCCCTTGCCATTTCGAATTTAGGGGGCTTGACTGTATATACATACATATGTACATATATCATCACAACTATATTGATATTATAATAATCATCATTGTTAAGCCCTGGCTATTGGGTTCTTCTTGTCATCATTATTATCAGATGACTGCAGATGCTTTTGATATTCAGCATCATCAACTGCAACAACATCATCGATATTATCAGCATCAGCAACCTCATTATCATCATGATCATCATCAGTGACTTGTCATCTTCATCATAGTCTTCAATGATTTTGTATCTTAATCATTATCATCATAATGAAATGAAATGTTAAAGTCATCATCATCATGATCGTAGAAATCATCATCATTATCATTGATTTGCATTGATTTGTCATCATTATCATCATTGATTTGTCACCTTCATTATCTTCATCATCATCATCTGTATTTTGTCATATTCATCAATGATTTATTGTCTTCATCTTCATCTCCATCTTCATCTTCATCTTCATCTTCATCTTCATGTTCATCTTCATCTTCATCTCCATCTTCATCTTCATCTTCATCTTCATCTCCATCTTCATCATCATCATTGATTCGATGATTGATTTGTCATCATCATCATCATTGATATGTCACTTTCATCATCATCATCATCATCATTGATTTGTCATCATTGTCATCATAATCACTGACTTGTCTTATTTATCAATTTGTTGTCTTCATCTTCATCATCATCATTGTCATTGATTCGATGATGGATTTGTCATCATCATCATTGATTTGTCATTATCATCATCATCAGTGTTTTGTCGTATTCATCAATGATTTGTTGTCTTCATCTTTATCATCATCATCATCATCATCATCATCATTATCATTATCATTATCATTATCATTATCATTATCATTATCATTATCATTATCATTGATTCGATGATTGATTTGTCATCATTATCATAATTGATTTGTCACCTTCATCATTATAATTATCATTGATTTGTCATCATCATCATCATCATCAGTGACTTGTCATCTTTATCTATCTTTATCTAACTAGAAATAATGCTCTACAGGCATATCAAGCTATCGGAAATGCTTTGCTACTTCTGTATGAATGTGTGTGTGTGTGTACATGCATGCCTATATGTATATGTGTGTGTGTGATGAGTGCTGTACAGTTTTGGAGTCCATTTTGCTACACTTAGAGTACGCGCTTGTTGCTGGCCAAAACAGACGCAGACTCTGCCGCAGCAGCAGCCGCAGTCGCAGTCGCAGTCGCAGTCGCAGCAGCAGCAGCAGC